AGGACAAACCCCCGCTCCCAGCCCCTCACAGGTACCTGCTCTGCCCACCCTGGGGGAAGGCAGCTCCGCAAAGGGAGCGGACCCGTCCCCGGCTCAGCCCGGCGGATTTCAGGCTGAGCTCTTGCCACCATCTAGTGGTGTTGCCCGGAGGGAGCCGAGCCACCCAAAAACCAGCATCTCCCCAACTTTTCTCGCCTGGGAACCCCAGCCTGGCAGAGCTGCAGCCTTGGTTTTGGTCTCCAGGTCACCCTGCGAAGCCCCCGTAGGGTGCAGAGCCCCTTCCCCAGCTGGCAGGTTTCAGTTCATCTCAGTACTGCGAATTATTTGCTTGCAGGAGTTTCGGACTTCTTTTCCTGAGCCAGGTCGGCTCTTGGTTTCTCCTTGTTTCTAGGGTCTCTCAGGTCACCTCTGCTAGCTCGGATCTGAGGATTTCCCTCCAAGTTTTCATTTTCAAGCCGTTTACTCCCTCCCTAAGCCTTAATAATCACAGCCAGGTTTTCAGGAGAGCGAGTCTCAAAGTTTAAGGGCACATTCAGCCACCCCCATCACCCTGAGCCCTGTAGCACACTGACCAGTCACCTAAAATCCTTTGAGCTCCCTCTGAAGCCCAGTTTTGCCCCACAACAGCAAAGGCACCGCCAGAAACCCCTGCAGCCCCCCCGCCCCAACCAACCCCACAGGCAGGCGAGGACTCACCAGGCCCAGAGGAATCCAGTAGCTCCAGCGCAGCCTGCTCGCTTCCGAGCAGTTACTCATATCACGCTGAACCATCACGCCCAAACCATCCGTTTACTGCCTGAAATACCTCACCAGGGTCCCCTAGAGAGAAAAGTCACCCCACCGGCCAGGGAGCAGCAGGGAATGCTGCATGGTGACTGTCCCAGCTCAACCATAGCCTCCCACTGCCCAGCTGAGGAGCAATCAGGGGTAATTGGCATCTCCTGTGGGTAACGACCAAGCTCCATCTCACAACCTTCTCCAGCTGTGCTCAGCCAGGACTCCCAGCCCACCTGGCTCTAGTTAAATGCCTCAGCAAAACCCAACCACCTCTCCCTGGGTGGCATGTTTGAGGTTGCTTGTCCTCGTTACCCTGCAAAATGGTAAATCTCACCCACCTGGGACCCTCCACAAGGGAGCAGGCAGTAACCCGGCCCCAGCTGCTCGGCAAACACTCCTGCCAAAGGACGGAGAGGGTAAGAGTCCAGGGTGAAAATCCTGCTTGGGGTGTTGAGCCACGGTGAGTGCTGCTGGGAAGAGATGCTCACAGCCCCATCTATGGGCCACAAAATTATGCTTCTTATCTTTTTGTGCCTGCTAGAAGATGACAGTTTGGTTCATACAGGACTCTGGGGTGAAATGGGTACAAGGATTTAATGGGTTTACCCACATTTTTCAGTCACTTGCCTTACCTGAGTTGCTCCTGGGCTCTCACACTTTCCCACAGACAAAACAACTCCATGGCACGATTTATACCAAGACCAGAGAGAGGATATTGCCATCCTCCTTGCCGTAAAGCCCCCTCTTACTAGAAATAAGAGGCCATTAATAGAAGGGATCTTTTCAAAGGATAAATGATAATGTAGCGTATTGTGAAAAGTTTTATTCACAAACATTAATAAGGTCTATGAAAAAGCTGGTGTATGGATTGCCCTACTTTTTTTTTTGTAGCTACAGATTAAATCTTATGTTACTTATTTCATCAAGGTGCAAGAATCATGTTGCAAGGAGCTAACAATAGAGATAGCAAAAGGAAATCTATGCTTAGGTCCCAACTGTTTAACATCCTGTAAAGAAACACCTTCAAAAAGTAAATAGGGAATATTGTTCTGCTAGGAAGCCTTGCAGGTTAGGACACAGCCTCCCCCTCCCCGCAGCAGCATGGTCAATCGGATGCATTTTCTAGCTGAGGATAAGTTATTTCATCAGTAAAGGTCACAGCACTTAGCAGAGCCATAAAAGCCCTTTATAAAGGACAAACCAAGACCTACAAACACAAAGCAAGCTGTCCAAGTCACCCAGGGAGGCACAGCAAGGAACCCTGATCTCCCGAGAGCCGGTGCAGCGCGCTGAGGGCCAGGGACACTGCTCAGCATCAGTGGAAGGAAGATCCAAATCCAGCAAGCTTGCACCCCGCTTCTCAGCATTGCTGCTATTTATTTAGCTGAGTTGTTTTCAACCCCGGGTTAACAGACACCTCAAGGTCAGTCCCAAGGCTACATCTGAAAAGTTGGCAAAAGCTACCAGAAAGGATACCCAGTCAACGGATGCCACAAAAGAACCTTTGTGTGTGCCACTTCTCAGAGATCTTCCAGAAGGACAGTTGTGGGGCTTGGAAATCAGAAGTTTGAAAATCACTGAGTTAGCTGGTTAACAGCAGAGAAACAAGTTGGAAGAGTTTAACAGAAACATGGGTTTCTACCTTTAGCTACGGATTTATTTTCTCACTCTGCCAGGCAATTCATCACTAGCAAAGTTTTTATTAGTGCTGGAGGGAAGAGAAAAGGAGAATTTACAATCCAAATTTCAGCAGCTGCCAGTGTACTCATTCGTATCAACTTTTGAGAACATTTCTTTGAAACTATTTTAACAAGAAGGCTAAAGCAATTTGCTTGTAGAAAGAAGGCGCTGCTGTGAGAAGACAGATGCTGCTCCTAATTTTCAGCAATACTTTCACATAATACCAAAATACTTGGCACAAAGCAACTGATTAAAGAAATGCCATCACTGATGGCAGATGGTACTTCTCATCCCAATCTGTAGCAGCCTGCTAACGTTAGATGTAATCTGATTGCAAACACAGTGCGTGCATTTTTTCCAGATGAGCAAGCTTTACATAATTTTTCATTGCCCTTATTTTCGTTTGTTAACAAACATCATCGTTATGAGCAAACAGCCTGATTACAGTGTTATCAAATGAATCCCTTCTGCTTACCCCACCCTTCCAACCTTCCAGCACCCGGAAATATCAGCAAAACAGCCTTCTCCCCCACCCCCCCATTGTACCACCTGCTTAGAACACCTAGTTTTAAGCTGCTCATACTATCAAAAGCCAGGATGGAGCCTTGAAGGTACCCGACTTAAGGCTATGGCACTAAATTACAGCAAGGCTTGACCTAAGAGGCTCAGAAAATATTCCAGGCAGCAGGTTGCTCACCTTTACTTTAGCACAAAATTAATTCAATCGCATATTGGTCTGCCAGGTACTTTTTCCCCAGTGGGAACTCACCATGGGTCCTCCTATAAGTTTACTCAAGTATAACTCTATGCAGTAAGAGCTATGAAAACAGGATTTTCTTCAAGGAAGTTGCACTTCTATAAAACTCATTGAGCAAAGCTGTGCATTTGCCAAATAGTGGCTGCTCGAGTTATGAAAGAGAGTTTGTTTAACAGAAAACAAGTGACTACGTGTCCAACTGCCTTTCTCTTCCTCTTTGCTGGCCGAGGAACAGAATGCAGTGGAGGCCAGAGACGACTGCTTTGCTAAGTAGTGACAGACTCACTCAAAGTTGAGTCCATGCTAACGCAGGGCATTAATGCTCATTCAGAGCAGACACTTCAGAACTAGCCAGGTTTCCTCGAGCCATACCAATAGGATTTGTAAAAAATATTCTATTAAAACCACTTTTTTCTACGAATTCTCAGAGTCCCTCTCCCCAGTAAAAATTATAAAACAATGCTCTCATTTGCCACCAGATTAGAATAGGCACCTTTGGATGCTTTGAAATCTGCTCTTCAGAGAAGCAAGACAAAGCCACCCTTCTTGCACTTGTCAAACACACAGTGCCTAGCTTTCAAGCAGCTTCCAAGAGCAAAACTAAATATGTTTTTCCTACTCTCAAGCTCTGAAAACATGCAGGTGCAACTTGTTCCAGCGGCATAGTAACTCGAGTTAGAATGTAACAAGCTACATTATCTTAATTTCAACAGCCATCTATATAGGTCCTCCAACCATGTCCAGCCACCTGCAGGCACTTTGAAACACTCAGCATCTGGTCTTGATTCAGCTGAGTAAGTTACACAGCACTTGCAGCAAGGGGGAAGTGGAAGGCATGATCATCATCAAGAAACAGCAACAGAAGAGATGGGTCTAGGTCACAAATTCTGCATTTCCCATGATGGGCACCAGCTACATCCCCTACACCATAATACATAAAGAAAAAAGTCTATGTAAGATGCTCACTGCACCTTAGGTACACAGAGGGTTTGAAATTCCAATCTACTGCAGACTTTCACTACTAATTTCCTCCGATGGTCCATATAACATAGGTGATTTATGAAACCTCAACAGCACGTGGGCAGTAGAAATAAAGACAACAGAATAAACTTCATTGTTTTTATTCTGCAAAGCAATATGCACATCTTACAAACACAAAATTAATCTAGGAGAGAAATGTCATTTCCAAATCAGCTATTAACCATCATGCAACAAGACAAGTGAAATGTAAGAACAAAACAAAACAAAAAAGCCATCTTAACCCTACAATCACCTGCAGAGGGTTGAAAACCAAGGCTCAGATTTTCTATGTAATGCCAAAGAAAAATGCAAAAGAAAATGGCAGCTTTCTAAGAACAAGAAAACACGTACAAATAGAATCAAAACTGATTCAAGTCATAGTTAAAAAGAAAAAGAAAACAAAAAAAGGAAAGATCAATATGATCTGAACTTTAAGTTTTTACTCTTCTGTTTGGCTGCATTTAACTTTTGTACATTGCGCCTAGGAACAATCCAATATTCCTCAGTATTACAGCATTTCAACCTGATGGACACCCTTACCTCTCTGCTGCAATACAGGGGTGCAAAGGGATAAACTAAGGCCAAAAAATACAACTCTTTAACATTTCCCTTATGCGTTTGTGGGTTGTATAATCTTAGCATTTCTGGGTACTTCAATGCAGTGGGTGATAAATTGCAAAGCAGGCTCCTCTAATTACCAAACAGCAAAACCAGATTTAAAAAAAAAAAAAAAAAAAAAAAAAAAAAAAAAATCTCTTTTCCACAACAGATCAAGTTCCACTTAGAACATCTGGAGTTTTAATTTTTAATTTGCTGAAAGGACTTGGCTTTGCTTTTTTTTGAGGAGTCGCATTATGGTGGGTGCTTTCTAGGTATTTCCAGAATTTGCAACACCATCCCAATCCATTTCCTATTCCTGCCTTTGGTCCCCAGATCAAGCCACCCTCGTAGGCAACTCTAGAAGTCAGTATTAATGCAGAAGGCTGGGTACGTGTGAATTAGGAACTGCTTGGACAGTTTTCATGAGAAGCCGTCTACCTGTTTTGACTTCACTGATTCATTTCAGTGAAGCAGTATTAGCCCATAGCAGCATCAGGAGAAAACTGGAAGCTTCATTTTATCCCTAGACTTCAAACTAGGCCATCTCTAAAGCTTTGCCTTAACACTCCCGGAGAAAAATGCATGTTAGTTAACACCACTTAAGTAACTGAAATTCTATAAAGGAAACACGTTCTGAAGAAAAGTGTGGCTATTTTGCTTCAAATGCTCTGAAGACTCGTGAACTTACGGAAGTCCCATACATACAGATCAGTAGGGTACCACTCAATAGTGTCTATAAGTAATGAACCAAGAATCTCATGCCAGCATAATTGAGACTGTGAGATTTTGACTTGAGTTTCTTCCTTTGTGTAGTTTAGAGCAAAAGGAGGAGGGGAAAAAGCTGATCTGTAGGTATGCAGACCTACAGTTATACTACCTGACGAGAAAGCTGAAAGGCAAGATGAAAGGTCAATTAAGGCAATCAGTGAGATTTTAAAAGCAGTGGTGGAAAAGTCTGCAGGAAAACCCCGACTCCTGAAAATTAAGGAAGCTACTCGGTAAGAAGCCAGAAAGAAACAGCAAAAGCCAGAATGGGAAAGGGAGAAACACACAGAATAAAACCTCTGATTTAGGAATGGACAGAGAGAACAGTATGTGTTTTACTGTGTGGTTTCTTTGACCTTAATCGCAACAGCCATAGTCCTCTCCTTGTCATTTTCCCCTGAGTGGACAGCATTAAATGGAAATGGGACAAAGCTAATAAAAGTGTCATTTTCAGCTGCCCTTCAGAGATGGATGGAGAGTCCCAAAGTGAAGCTCTATTACAGACTATGGGATTTCTTTTCCTTTCATTATTTGCACTTGCCCAAGGCTGTGCAGAGCCCCAACAGACTGTTAATACAATACATCTTTTTATTAAGTTTCACTTTCTAGAAAAAAAAGTTTACAGAAAGCTGCTCTGCAGCAGACACACACAATCCTGGTTTGAGGGCTGCGGATGGGAGGCCAAGTGGAAAGCTTTCCAGATAGTCTCTATGCTGACTGGTTCTCTGGCATTCAGCAAGCCAAATGAAAAAAAAATTAAAAAAAAAAAAAAAAAATCAAACTTAGCACTTTTCATTAAGAAACATTTTAAAATGGGACTTCACTTCTTATTTTTTTTACTATGAATAAAAGCACAAGTTTGTCCTAAATACAGCACTATTAAAATGTGAATATGTATTTCTTTAAAAAAAAAAAAAATCTAAAATGTTGATATCTTTTCTTGCAAGCAAGGAGCAAATGGAATAAAGTATTAGGCCACACAAATACACATTTAATTCATGTAGTAGATTGGTGGCTTTGGAAATGCAGTATTATATCAAAGGTGCATACTGTTTCAAACACACTGTACATATAATTGGGCAAAAAACAAAAGATCTGTTCATTTGTTTGAGACACTTGCAAAGGCATCTTAACCTGCCCAGATGCAGCTAGACAAAAATATCTTGCTCTGACTATATGTAGCCATATCACTAAACATATCTACACAAACATTCGGCTATGTCCACAGGTAAAGACTGAAATTTCCGGCCGCACTACAATGCGGAACAAGTGCATCATCTGATCTATTCTGAATATACTTTTATAAATATGTACAAATCAATTACAGGCACTTGAAATGTCTTTGGTTGGAATAAACCAACATTGCAAGATAATGTATTCACAGAGTGTTAAGACCCATTCTGGGTTCAGCAGGCAATGATTACGGTTCTCAGTCATTCTCAGTCAAAGGAGAGGATGGATTATGCTTCTGACAAAGCAACCTAAACAAAAGAAAAAGAAAACATTTAATTAAAGTCAAATGCTTAATCCCATAACAGTGATATTACTTATCTCCACGCAGCTGGCATATCTGTCCTTGCCTTTCCAAAGAACCTTGAAAAGTCTAACTTGGAAAGAAAATCAAAGTAAGTCTGAAGGTGTTTTGTGCTTAACATTATCAATTAGAAAACAAAAGCAACTCCCCCCAAAAAAACACAAACCCAAAAACCCCAAAACAGTTTATACTACAAAATATTAAGATCAAAAGGTGCCAACATTAGCTTCCTACTTCACAATTGAATATATTCATATTTAATCCTTCAAGCAAAGTGCAGGTCTCCAATGCAGTATTGAACAGTGACTGTTTCAATAGCTTTGTCATTGTTTTAATTAAATTCTGATTTAACAACCATTAGAATCACCTATCATGTTTTATTCGAAATTTTCAGTCTGTTGTGATAAAAGATAAATAAAACTACTCAGTGCCATCTATTCAATGCTTCACACAAAATGGTGCAAGTAACATCAGAATTATGGCACAAGAGTTGCGTTACAGCACTCAGTGAACTGCAATAATCCACTTCTGTAGGAGAGAAATCTGAGGATCTACAAAGCACATATATGTATTTTGTAGCACCTGTCTGTACTGTCCACAATGAAACACCCATGTCTCTTTGAAAGGGAATTAAATCTACATCTCCAGAGATAAGAAAAACCAGTCTGCACTACGTCGACAAGGAGGTTTTCTGTTTTCTTATCAGAGTCAATATTTTGTTATTACACAGACTCACCTTTTCAGAGCAGAATTCTGTATTGCTTTGCCTTAGTTTGCTTGGTCTGCCTTTAATTACTGCATAGCAGAACATTGTAATCACCATCACAAAAAGAAAGTAACTGGTATGCATGAGATGCAGGTTTATTAGAGAGCGATCATCCTGCACAGAGAATTAAAACCATTTACTGACAATGCACCAATAGTTGGCATTTTATATTAAAGCAATAATTATCAGATAAGGACAGAAATTACTTCATAAATCAACTTTCTCCCCTTTACGCAGCTGGCATAGTAATTAAAGTGATTCCTAATTGTGGCACATAAAGAGCTGAAATGGTCCTCGTGTTAAAAATCTGTACTAGAGATCTCTTCCCATATACTGGCAGTGCCTTTTGTCAAATGGCTTCAAACTATAAATGTTTGTTATTAAAAGCTGTGAGGCATATGGAGATTACATGAAGACCATCACACCCACCAGCAGTAAAGCGCACCTAACTGTCTCAGCCCTGGCCCTGCACAATAAACCAGCACTGAACAGGACTATTTTAGGACATGAACAGAACCATATTCAGTTAAACCAGAGCTAAACATTTATTCAACATAACACATAAAGACACCACGGCACTTACATCTGGAACTATAACAGTTAGCTTGGGATTTAAAGCATGATACACTTTTCCGATTGCTCCTTTGTAACACCAGAAAGGGTTATAATCTTGTGCATATTTTGTATTAGAGTCCCTTGCTGTGGTAAAGATCTTGTACCAAAGTGTAGCATTGCTGTATGTTTCAGGAACACAATGTGGTGGCTGACTGCAGAAAAACAGAAATAATTAGCACCCCAATTGCCACTCTCCATGTTTACGAAGGCTAACTTTCAGAACTGAGTCAAGCCCAGTCTTCTCAACAGCAGCATAAAACACGGTTTTATTTTGGACCTTCCAAAACAACAACAAAACCCAAAGCTTAACCAAAAAGTTGTATAATAAACCATCTGATTCCTATACTAAGATTAGAATTTAACTGCGTGTTGTTGCAGTAAGTCAACATCCCACAGCTTAATTAGAAAAACACTGGTTTTCATAAAGCTTCACAGAGTCATGTGAATCTATCTGGTGGTTCTCCAGGGTATACTGAATAGTGTCAGAGAGTCTAGAGAAGACAAAGGGAAACTATTTTGATGAAAGGTCTGTACCTGCTGGGGGATGGCAGCAAAGCAGCACTCGGCTTACGCTGATCTCTCAACAGGGAAAAGGATAAGAACCTTAGTGTCAAGCCGTAGCTCTCACACAAAGTAGTGAAACTAAATTATAGGGTGTGTGTCATATATTCATGGATTCTTTTGTTCCTAGTGAACATACAGGAACAAATTTAAATCACAGGTAGCACACTGAAAGGCAGGTAGGGCCTATAGTTCAAAACATCCTCAGAAGAACCTAGTGTTGCTAAAAGACAGCAAGTCTCAAGACAGGGGTTTTACTGTGGGGGAAGGAAGGCAGGTAGGTAGGTAATTTCCACAGTCAACAGTAATGTTCATCAGGAAGTAACAACCTCAGAGAACCAGCTGAGGAATTAATCACCCAGTAACCAGTCTATGAAGGAGCATTTAAAATGCACGTACACTGTGACAGGAAATACATTGCTGGCTGCTGTCACAGTCATGCAGGTTGTGAACACAACCTGCTCGCAGTGGCCATGAAGAACGCAGTCATCTGAATTCCAGGCAGCCGGCAGGGTGAATGTAATATTTATCTCCTCATGGGATTCTCTGCCTTTGAGAAAGAGAGAAGGAAAGCCGGTTTTCGTTCACAAAAGTATCTGAGCAACAATCACTAGGATAAGGACAACACGCAAACCACTAAGGCAGCAACCATAACCCTGAAACTGTACCTTTGAAGTCATCCAGGATCTTTACTATCAACAAAGAGAACAAAAAGAAAGTTAAAAAACAACACAAACCAAACTACAAAAACCCCAGCTGCTGGTCTTTCTAATCCCTCCTGCCCCCAGAAGAAGTGGGGTCATTAGGCTCCTTTCAGAAATTAAAAACTCACTATTTATAAGTGAATTCATGCATGTTCAGAGAACTTTATTAGAAAGTAAAATCACAGATCTTTAACCTTTCTCCTCCCAAAGACTTTGTTCCACATCTGATTTTTCTTTTCAAATTGGAGATACTCGTGTAGACAAAAAGGTGCCAGCAGATATTGAACTGCAGATTAAGTAGGGTACGTTAACTCCATGTGGATATATTCATACTGAAAATAAATCCAGGCTACTGGAAATGGAACTTGCATTTGATAGCTCTTAAAGCAGTAACACAATAACAACAACATAAAATACAGTAATACAGATTTACAGCTATGGCAAATGTCTCTTCACAGGTCTCTGAGGTTCAAGGCACCTTCAGGCATTATTATAAAGTGCAGCCCTGCCTAAAAGCTAAAATTCAATGAGGTTCTCTTATCAACTTCTACTAATTTTCTACAATCTCCTGCCAAAATTTACTGTCAGGGCAGCCTCATAGCAGATGAGTCTCTTCACACCACAGAAACCGTAACCATCTTGTTTGTTGCTGTTTGCAGCATTAAAGCTTATTCATGCATGCATTTTAGATAAACTCTGGTTGTTTTAGACAGCTTGCTACTTGATCTCTAATGTATGTACATTAACGCCTCTCAAATGTGAGTTAAGGACTTAAAGATGTATCAAGATAGAACTGAAGATAGTCACTGTAGAAGTTTTTCCTGCTTGGAATTTTGTTGGTTTAAAAATTACCTTCCATTGTCATTAGGTTAATCATTTAAAACTGCAAAGCCTAATCTTGGCAAACCTGCAGGTTCTTTTCCATTCTGAGTGCAGGGAAAAGTTTTTCTAGCAAACAAGTGAAGGGCTCTATACAGGAATATACTTACAACAAATCTGGAAACACATATACGTTCTAAGCAAAAGATTTATCTCACCAACAATAAGCTGGTGAATTTTTATTTGATTATATAGTTATCATTCAAATCTATAAAGGTCAAGTCTTGCATACCTGAGAGTCCAATTTGGTGTCCAAAAATTGTGGAACTTAGATGTGTGACATTGCGAGAATATCCCCCAAATGGTCTGAGCGGGTCCAGCGTCAACGTGATTGTAACAGAGACGTTTATTGGACCAGAGTCCTCAAGAGCCTGTGGAGACTGTGTAGAAGATCTCGCCTGTCCACTAGTCACCGTACTTTCTGGAGTTGTGGTATCATTGATGAGATGCTTTAAGGTTTCATTCTCAGATATACAGAAGTCCAAATCATTAAACCTCAGGAGGAAAGTATTCCAGTCCTTAAAACAAATGTGAAGATTTCAAACAGATTAGCAAGTTAACTGTTGGCTGCCACTTCTCTAGGGCAGTGCAGACCTTGATATGTACCATTCTGCCCGCAGTTCCAAGCCATTTAACAAAAATTACATGGCTCACAAAGCAAGCACAAATACCACCATGGCTATCTCAACAATGGGACAAGTTGTTTACACAAGTTAGATGTGTTCAATCCCAGCCACCACTCGACCACTGCTCAGTGCAGCAGCAGCAGAATATCCTCCTTTAAACTACAAAAAGCATATACTAACTTGGTCCGTTCTCACCAGGGTGTAAGCGGTTTCTAGCTCATTACAGAACAGTACTACTAGATAAGAAGTTTCACAAACAAGCTAGCTGAGGCAACAGAGTAAGAAAAAGAAAGGCTTCTAGCCATAGTAGGGAAGACGCATGTCAGATGATTCGGCCTCATCCTCGCAATAAAACAAGACTATTCAAACATTCGTACCAATAGCCTCTTTCCTAATGAAATTAGAGGCAAATGTAAATGAAGACAACCTCCTGTAAGACTCTGCGCATTCCCACGAGAGGGTTCTTGGGGGGGACACACACGACAAAACTCATTAGCTTTGGGCAAGTTTTTCAAATTAGTATTCCCACTGTTTAGCTCAGGAACTTTCTGTACATACCTCTGTCATTTCCGGTGACTTGATCTCCTTGATTTTGAAGAAATAACCCAGTGTCAGAAAAGCTATTGCCATAGCGCTTACACTGATCATAAAGACCACTAGCGGAGGTCGACTGCTGATGTAAACCTTCAGGTTCTCCAACAGGTTTATGTTGAACATTATTCTGATTGTTCACCTGAAAAAAAAAAAAAAAACAAAAGAGTACGTCCAAAACCAGCTGTGTTATGGCCAAACAGGCCAGTGAAGGTGTCAGAAGGCAGCAGGAGTGAAAGGGCAAGGGAGAGCTGGTGTTGGTAAGGATCATCCTGGGTATGATCCGCACTTCTGTACATTCTGCTTCCTGTCTTGTCACTGGCAGCAAATTTCTTAAATGAGCCCTAGTTAAAAATCTCAAACACTCTATCTAGAAACATTGGAGACACATGTTGAGATGGAAAAAGATCAAAATATAAACCAAAAGCAGAGTTGTATTCAGTGTTCCCTTCTGAATTTCCTTTTGAAAATAACAACACAGATGCAGGCTTTATTACAACGTTTAATCAAAGCTGAATGTCACCCACAGCATATACAGTACTGTGATTCCTTTTTAAAGGGGCTTCCAACAGCTCCATTAGCATGCTTGTTTACCACAGAGTCTAAAATCAGCCATAAAACTGGATGACTTGAAAAGCATACATATAAAAATATTTGGGCTAATATTTTTATATAAGAGAGCACCAGCTTTTAAGTGCTGGTTGCTTAATATGCTCCCATAACTCAACGGCTTTGAAAGCAATTAGAAAATGCTATAAGCTGCAATTTCCGAAGCGTAATATGCCTTTTGAGCATTTGTGAGAGAAAAGGGAGCAACTGTGGATTTCAGTGCTAGAGCTGACGTGAAAACAGCAATTGGACATGGTTAGTGCAAACCAGAACCAAGAAGAACGTTTCCACACTGCTGCCTGAAGAACTACTGATTTTTTTTATGAAATAAAAGTGCTTAAATAACAGTAATTATAAAAGAACTTGTGAAACAGATCAGTGCATGTAAATCAAAATGTACATTCCCACTAGTTTTTAGGGGTTTACTTAATGGTCCAACACTTAAACTCCTCCTTTCTGTTAGAACCCATTAGAAACACAACACAAATGCTATTCTTCTACCAGCTCTAGTTCTAACTACCAACTAACTTCCTCTGTGTAAATGAATAACCTAAAGAATATAATTTATTTCTTTTTCACACAGTTAAAAGAAGAAACTGAATGCTATTACCTCCTGGCAGGTCAGGAAAGCAAGATCAGATTTCACTTTTTAGCTACATAAATAATTTAGAAAGCGGCTCTAATAACTGCTGCCTGCCTCTCTCCACTCCGGCTAAGCTTTTTAATACTCATGCAATAAAAATCTCCAGTCAGCCTAACAAGTAGCTCAAGCGCAACGGGAAGAATAAAAACTGCCAGCCTGGAACATTGGCCACCAACTCCAAAGTAATTGCTCGGTATTGAGGTGTATACATCAAGACCAAATGCCACGTTCAGGCAGAGTTACAGCTGACGGTACTCATCGGGAAACACTCAGCAAGCACTGGAGAGATATTGTGCTCTTAAATCAGGCCCTACGAACACTGGAAATTATGTTATAGACTTAAAAAGATAAAAATGGTAAAGGATGGAAATACACAACAGTTAATATGTCAGAGTCCCAGGCAAACACAGAATTGGGTAGTGGTCTAAAAAGCGAGAAAAGAGTCACTTATTCTACAGTTTACGGAGTCTTGCTCCAGTACAGGTCAAGACCATATACAGCAACCTCAAAGGTGTAACATTTTAAATTCCTGCTTGTTTGTATATGAAAGAGTATAGAAAAGGTAACAGCTGAAATAGACCTATCAGTTTTTCAAGAACAAATTACAAATAAGGAAAATCTTGAAGTATATTGCAAAGACCAAAAAGTCAATTAAGTGAGTCATAGCAGAAGGATGAAATTCCCATTTCGAGGCTTAATATCAAAGGAACTGAATTCCTAACAATAAAAAAAAAAAACCAACAAAAACCCACGTGCTGTACTAAAGCAGGTATTAAAAGTAAAATTGCAGTTGCCAAAAGGAAAAAAAAAAACCCAACCAAACGTGAATTTGAAAGCATCAAAGTAAATGTCTGACAATTTTCACGTGTATCTTGCCATGATGTCAACTACCATCTTTCCACTAGGAAGCCTAAAATCCTGTAATTTCCTCACAAATATTTTCCCTTCTCGTTGTGCATGTAAGATAGTCAGTCTAGAGGAGAAAAACATTTGGAGGGGTTTAAATAATAAAAAACCACCACTGAAATACCTCAAGGAAGAAAACTGTGGGTGGAAGAGAAGGGCAGCAGGCTAGCGCTAACCCAAACAGCACTCCATTAAGACCTCACATGTTTTCTAAGCCTGAACACCTTATTGCGCAAAACAGCATTTAATCTTAACTGTGCAGTTCAGTTTATTTATAAATCAATTATGTTTTCAAACATGCCCCATCACTAGTAGTACAATGGGGGTTACAAAATGGGTCACATCAGGGTTAACCGCTTTGAATGAAAATAATGTTGCGTGCCAGAAAAACACTCATAAACACAGATCAACCAAACTGTGATTTTCCTAGCAAGCCATCCATAAATGACATGCAAACAAAGAAATGGTGTTGATCTCAAATGAAAGTGCCTCTCATTTAAGAACAGTAAACAGTAGCAGGTACCAAAAATATCTTTCATTTGGTTTTCTTCTCTTCAAACCGAACTTGATGTCTAACACCTAAAACACTAGAATAGTAAAGCAAAATAGATCACAGTTGTGTTAACTGTGAAGCTGCCTATGAAAGTTCAAAATATTCAAGATGGTCTGTCAAAGCTTTATAAAGATCAATTAATAAGAATGTCTATACCTCTAATCTAATATCACCAGCTTATCGAACAGAACTAGCAAAAGTAACCTCAGCTGATCTCACAACTGAAAATAAAGCCCCTGCTGGTTCTCAGAGCAGCAGCAATTATCATCTCCCCCTCCTTTTTTTAAAGGAAAGAAAACAGGATAAAAACTGAAATTAAACAGAAGCTTCTAAACTCACCAGACGGTTGCCCCTTTTATGCCCTGAAACGAACTACTAATTTCTACTACATAAACTAGAAAGAGCTTTTACAGTCAGTTTCTTTCAGGAATTGGGGAAGGCTAATCAAGATTTTTTCTTTAAATCTTCATTAGAATTTCACAACGTAATATTTTTATCATAAAACAAGCAGTTGGGAGCAAAAGAGGGGTTTCCTACTAATTTTATAGGAAGACTTACTTTACCATACTGGGATCTGTGGAAAAAGAGGTGCCAGTATCTGCAGCTGTTTCAGTTCATCTTTTTTAGGAAGCATATCAAGACCCTGCAGGATGAAATTGTAACAGCCTGAAAACCTCCGTCAGCAGCAGAGGGGCAGGCAGGGCTGACTCCTAGAGGAATGAAGGGAGGGGAATCCTCCAGAGCAGAGCATTTTTTCTGTCCAACTGATCTTCCTCCCCTTCTCCTGTCCTTCAGTGTTAACAAAATAAAACAAAGTAAACAGATTCATAGCAAATGCCATCAGTCTTCTTCACAAAGTAGAGGAATAGCAGTAATCGAGACTTGCAGGGGAAGAAAGTTGATGAAAACATCACCTAGGATCCTTCAATCCACTGCAACCACGTATAACCAAAAGATCAGCAGCCAGATGTGCACAAACACATCTACTCCCCCAAGACAAAGCACCCAAGTGGGAGATAACAGTGAATCAGCTCAAACCAGTCAGTGGCTCATCACATTCTTCTCAGCTATTTTATCCTATAAATATGTTTACTGATTAAAAAAACACGTTTTCCTAGAGCCTGGAAGCAGAAAGTGTGGCAGGAAAATGGCCTGGCCCTTTGCACATGCAAAGAGCACTGACAGAAGACACTGCGTGTACAGCACAGAACGAGAGCGAGAACATGACCTGTTGAAAATGAAAAGGAGATTCTTTCCTCACGTTATTCTGGTAATGGAGTCAGTCAGGAAGCAGATTATTAATGAAAGCCTGACAGCCTGGGGACTTGCAAGAACAGAACGAAGCAAAATGCTTCATACTTGCATGAAATGTTTCTTTTCACCTCTCAAAACACTTTTCAAAGCATAATTAAGCACTTCAACATCCCCAAGAGCTACATAAACAGCAAACATTTCAGTTCTACCCGTAAAACAAGGCCAAGGAAGGTAAGTCATTTGATCAGACTTATAGTAAATTTTAAGGATCAAATTCTTACTGAATTTCAAGCAGCCAAGTTCTTGACTGGAACTCTTGTTAAAGACAGAAAACATACACTAAAAAGTAGATGAGTTAAAAAATAAAAGAGGAAAATATGCGGATCAGATATTACTCAATCTGTGCATGCAACGTTTCCAGATATTTAACAGCCCTTCCCAACAAATACGCAGTTGTAGTTCAAAATGTCTGTGGTGGCGTTAACACAAGCACCTGAACAGTGTGTCAGCTGATACTCCTGGGACAGCAAAGTTGATTTTAATTTACCACTTAAAGAAAAATTTATGCAGAAACAGACAAATGCAAGCAAGTTCCAAATACTGTTGTGAAATGCTAAGAGTTTTAAAAACGTGAAGAACCAGAAAAGAGTAGAAAAGTTATAAGCCAGGAAATACAAACAATGTGAGGAAAACCTTTTTTCACTGGTTCAAAGAACCCCACATTCTGACTTTTGTTAAAAGTGAAAAACACAATTTAAAATATACCCAGCTGTAAAATAAAAGTAAACCTAACCTCTGGTTTAAAATAGACATTTTGCTGCCAAAGTTTAAAAAGAAAGACCCATTTGCCAAGTGAGCCTGTGCCATGGGAAAGAGTACGCTTTCATACACAAGAGTTCTGGCTTGCACGTTTTTAAAGCCTTTTACAAGTCAAAGTCATGACTTACAACATGACTTCTCATAATCTAAATCATACGGACTACAATAAAACACACAACATTAGACTCAAGGACTTTGAAGTTGTATTAAAAAATGCTATTCTGGTTACTGCTGCTTAGCACGAGAACCTGGGAGAGGAAGGCAAAAGTAAAATGATTCAGTTTTACAGGATCTGTCGAAGTTCCATGAGAAATCAAATTCTGCGTAGACTGCACTGACAACAGCCGAACAAATGCAGTTCACAGAAGGGCTTTATTCAAGCAGTATGAAAAGCCTCACTAACAGTTGAATAATCAGAAACTGGTTTAGTGACCAATTTAAGAAGGTTAATAGTTGACTGCAGTAAGGCTACCCATTAAGGAGTGTGGTACAGAATGCAGCAGTGTAAGTACTGAAAAATGCCAGAGAAAGGCTCTTCAAACTGTTTGTAATGAGAACTGTTGCTTGTAATGAGAACTGTAAGGAGACAGAGACGCAGACAGATACACAGCTTGAATCACAAGCAGAAAATGACTGACAAGTTGAAGAAATGGCAGCTTTAGTGGGAATGGCAAAATAAGAGTTCTGGATGTAGAAAGAAGGTAACGCTGGCTGTGTCAGTGAAGCAGGAAAACAGCCAGTGGCCGCTAGTGAAGGAGAAAATACAAACAGCAGCAAACCCCACTGAAATAAGGGACTTAAGCAATAGCTGAAATATCAAGGATATGGCAGTAATATTACCCTGTCTATATACTTCACCCCCACTGGTCAGAAGAAACAGGACTTTAATTTGCTTAGCCCGATCTCACGTAGGTAAGTACAGTCTCCATTTTACAGATAGATAATTAACAAAACCCGACATGCCAGGACATATGCAAGTTTTCTTCCAAAACAAAACCTGGGAGTTCCGAGTCCTGGGAACCAGCTTTATTCACAGGTCAGAACGGTCTTCTCAAAAAAAAAAGAAAGAAAAAAGAAACTCCCAACACAGACATGCTTTTGGCAAGGGGAGATTTGGGAAAAGCAACAAAATTCTGACACCGACAAGTTTCATCAATACTTCGTTTAGGGCTGATTTGATAAAACAGCTTCATTTCTACAAAAAATGTTATGCTACTTAATAAAAAAAAAATAAAGACGGTCACAGCTAACAGACCCGCAGGGAACACTTGCCAGGGAGTGTTTAAGGAGGGAGCTGCGCTCCTGTGGTCCGCCATCCATCCAGGGGTGATGGACGTGCCAGTCTCCTGGCCCTTGCCGGGCGCATCCGCCTCGCACAAAGGACACCGAGGTCTGTTTGTTCGTTCGTGCCCTCGGATGCTCCTCTCCACCGACAGAGTCTATTTTGTATTACCAGGCGGCATTTCAAGTTCTTGTCTTTCAAGTGGGAAAGAAGAATCACATTCCACCGGCCTCGAGCCACTCCTCAAATCACGGGAGGTAACAAAGCTACCAAGGTCTTAATCCTCTTTGACGGGACTAAATCGCGGGTCAAAGAGCATTCAGTCCCGCAGGCACAATTCAGCATTATCTCTGCTCAGTCTGCCTACAAAAGTTATCCCCTGTCCTGCGGACACCTGCTGACCAGAAATTGGATTGCAGCCATCGGCTTATTCCCAGAGACCAGAGGAAGAGCAGGTAGATGGAAGTGGCGGTGGCTCCCTAGATGAACCTAGAACCATTTTCTACGTCCAGCCTAGAAGCAGAGAGGTTAGTGTGCGTTTCCCGTAACTCAACCGTTTATAAAAAACGCAATAACGATTTACCAGAAAAGACAGGCCCAGCCGCGATAGCTTTTCATTCCACGACACGCTTCCAATTGCAAAACTTCTCAGGAGCTCGACGAGGATGTGGAGAGTAATCCTTAATGAATTCTTATCTAGACTCAAGGTTTATCTAACAGGGCAAATTTACCCGTATAATTACACCACTAGAGCTAATCATGCAAATAAATTTCCCCAGAGAAGACAAGCCCTTAAAAAGCAAACAAAGGGAAAGGGGAAAGAAAAAAAAAAAAAGGCAAGCCGTGCTGTAGTCTGTTCTTTCTCTTGTCAGGCAGAAATGTTTCCCAGGGTGTCCATATCTGTGATCATGATATACGGATTAAATTTAACGTTAGACATCTAGCAGCCATGTTCGAAGCACGATGCACCAGAAACGTTATTGTTAAAAGCATCATGACATCTTTAGACAAGTTAAATAAAAAAAAAAATAAAAGCGGATAAAATATGGATATGCAGCAAACGGCAAAAAAACCAACGAAGGAACCGCTGTTCAGAAGCTATTTTGAAACGGAAATATTTTCAGTGCTACCGGAATCACTCTTTTGTACTATTTTTTCCTGGTACGATGCCACCCATGCAAAGTTCAAGCTAACAACCTTCTTTCAAAAAAAAAAAAAAAAAAAATTTAATTAAAACTAACGCTACGATACATCGGCGAAGCCCAACGACCCCCGCCTGCCCGCTCGCCATGCGGATCTGGAAGCGAAGCTCTGCGGAGCCCGGCGGCAGCGGGGGGCAGCGCCCGCCTCACCCGCTCTGCCCCCGGCAGCGGGGCCGAGGCTCCGGGCGGCGCTTCCCACCCTTACGCGACCGTCACCGGAGCGGCCCGAGGCCCCGCTCCTGCCCACCGACCCGCCAGCGGGGGCTCGGCGTCGAGGCCCGGAGCTGGCCCCGCC